TAACTAACCAGACCATTCTTAGCTGCCTTTATGTTGTGGTGTGATGGATGAAGATATGGTCTGGAAACAACTTACCAGACCACTCTCAACTGTCTTTATGATGTGAGGTAACTTACCAGACCAATCTGAACTGCCTTTATGTTGTGATGTGATTGATGAAGATATGACTGGGAAACAACTTACCAGACCACTCTCAACTGTCTTTATGTTGTGAGGTAACTTACCAGACCAATCTGTACTGCCTATATGTTGTGATGTGATGGATGAAGATATGGCTTTGAAACAACTTACCAGACCACTTTCAACTGTCTTAATGTTGTAATGTGATGGATGAACATATGGATGAAAAACAACTTACCAGACCAATCTGAACTGTCTTTATGTTGTGTTGTGATGGATGAAGATATGGCTGGGAAACAACTTACCAGACCACTCTGAACTGTCTATATGTTGTGAGGTAACTTACCAGACCACTCTGAACTGTCTTTATGTTGTGATGTGATAGATGAACATATCGCTGGGAAACAACTTAACGATACAGCAAAGGTGATGAATACTGCTAATCCCTCACGCCAGATCTGTTAGGAAAAAAGACATCAAAGTAAGTAAATTTTTTTCTTTTCCCAAACTTTGTTGGGCTTCATCCTAGGAACCTATCAGCTAAATATCACGCTTCTGGACCTTTTGGTTAATCAGGAGAAGTTGTTTAAAGGTTTTAACAAATTTGACCCCTGTGACCTTGAATACGGGTCAAGGTCATTTCTTTCTACTAACTTTGTCAGGCTTCATCTCATTTCCCTATCAGCCAAAGATCATGCTTCTGGGCCTTTCAGTTAATCAGAAGAAGTTGTTTAAAGGTTTTAACAATTTTGACCTCTTTAACCTCACGAATATGGGCAAAGGTCATTTCTTTTCACAAACTTTGTCAGGCTTCATCCTAGGAACCTATCAGCCAATATCACGCTTCTGGGCCTTTTGGTTATTCAGAAGAGGTTGTTTAAATGTTTAAACATGGGCAAATTTCATTTCTATTCGCAAACTTTGTCAGACTTCATCCTATGAACCTATCAGCAAACTATCACGCTTCTGGGCCTTTTGGTTAAGCAGAAGAAGTCGTTTAAAAGTTTTAACAAATTTGACCCCTGTGACCTTGAATATGGGTCAAGGTCATTTCTTTTTGCAAACTTTGTTGGGCTCCATCCAAGCAACCAACCAGCCAAATATCATGACATTTGACTAGTTGGTTAGTGAGAAGAAGTCATTTAAATGGAAAAGTTGACACCGGACGGACGACGGATGGACGCTGGCCGACGCCGATGGACGCCGCGCAACGGCATTAAGTCTGTGTGAGGGCTGTAAGCGATAGCAATTTCTGTCTCTTCAAATTTCATTATTCAAATACAAAAAAAAAATGCAAATTTCTTGATAATTGACTTTTTGCACATCATGATTCATGATGTTTTAATAATTTGCTTTTGTCAACAAGGTAATTAAAAGTATTGCAAGGCAATCCATAATCACCCATCAGTTATGATTTCTTTATTTACAGAGCTGTCACCTATCTCAGGATAATGCTGTATTAAAAGCACCCTGGGCATATTGGTTATTCAGAAGAAGTTGTTTAAAGGTTTTAACATATTTGACCCCTGTGACCTTGCATATGGGTGAAGGTCATTCATTTGAACAAACTTTGTAGCCCTTCATCTCAGCGTGCTACTGGCCAAATATCATCACCCTGGGCATTTTGGTTATTGAGAAGAAGTTGTTTAAAGTTTTTAACATATTTGACCCCTGTGACCTTGAATATGGGTGAAGGTCATTCATTTGAACAAACTTTGTAGCCCTTCATCTCAGCATGCTACTGGCCAAATATCATCACCCTGGGCATTTTGGTTATTCAGAAGAAGTTGTTTAAAGTTTTTAACATATTTGACCCCTGTGACCTTGAATATGGGTGAAGGTCATTCATTTGAACAAACTTTGTAGCCCTTCATCTCAGCATGCTACTGGCCAAATATCATCACCCTGGGCATTTTGGTTATTCAGAAGAAGTTGTTTAAAGTTTTTAACATATTTGACCCCTGTGACCTTGAATATGGGTGAAGGTCATTCATTTGAACAAACTTTGTAGCCCTTCATCTCAGCATGCTACTGGCCAAATATCATCACCCTGGGCATTTTGGTTATTCAGAAGAAGTTATTTAAAGGTTTTTTAAGACAATTGACCCCTGTGACCTTGAATATAATTGAAGGTCATTCATTTGAACAAACTTGGTAGCCCTTCACCCAAGCATGCTACTGGCCAAATATCATCTCCTTGGGCAGTTTGGTTATCAAGAAGAAGATGTTTAAAGTTTTTAACATATTTGACCCCTGTGACCTTGAAAATGGGTGAAGGTCATTAATTTTAACAAACTTTGTAGCCCTTCATCCCAGTTTGCTTCTGGCCAAATATCGACACCCTAGGCCTTTTGGTTATTAAGAAGAAGTCGTTTAAAGTAAAATATTGACACCGGACGACGGACTTCGTGCCAGGTGAGCTAAAAACATATCTCAAAACATTTGGAATATGTTTAATATTCATTAGTAGAAAAAATCAAACCAATACCTACTACATTGTAATTTCATTATTTTCATATATCCAATTGTGAAGAAATTAGCTTTCTTGTGTTAATGTTATGTTTATTAACGATCATTTCCAGTCTGACGGTGAAAGAATAAATTCCAGATTCAATGTCAGTGACCGGTTTCGATTTTATAGTCACCTCCTACATTTCTGCTTTGGTAAACCATGTTTTCGATTGTAATGAACTTTCAGCTCTTATGTGGCTGTTTAATGTACTATATCTGTGAAAACTAAAGTGGAACTCTCTAGTGTTTTTCTTGCAGTGGAACAGGAATCTGTGATGTCTTGTACAAAGTAAAATAGCCAATACGCAAATATATGACAGACAAATATTCGATTTACTTCAGGTCATCATGCGTAAGGTGTTTATTTTTGGCGTGCATGCCGTTGGAATGAAGTATTGTGCTGACAAAGATTCCATAACAGTAGACAAGCCTTGTATTGTGCAACGAGAGAGATCAAATGCCCAACATGAAAATGCACTGGTCATCAAGGACAAAATATCAGGTGCAAAAGAGGCGTACATCAAAAAAGGAGAGGCTGATAGACTTGGGCCATTATTTGATTCAGGACTTATACATGAACCATGCATGTTGAAAGTAAAACTTTTGTCAACCTATCTAAACAGATACGCGGTCTCCTTCGCAGATACATTTTTGTCAACCTATCTAAACAGATAAGTGGGTCCTTCGCAAATTTGCTATATAGGATCTTTTTGTAAAGAATCAGACTGTGATGAATTAAGACAAACACTACACCGTGGACATTTTAATTTCAGAATAATTTGAAAATAAATTCACGATTTTCAGTTCTAGTTTGAATGAAATATAAGTGAACATGTGACTATAAAAGGCTGTTGAGTTGTGTGTCTCACTAAGCATTTGTTAATGAAATAAACTACATAAAGTACAGGGGGTGGGGTTGAAAGGGGGAGGGGCATACACCTCAATACCACAAACGAGACGGTCTGTTGGCGCAGTGGATAGCGTACTCGCCTTTTACCAAAACAGACGGGGTTCTATTCCCCAATCAATCGTGTAAAAATATTTTTTGTTTTAAACATATTTTATTGCCTTTTTTACATAGCAATGGAATTGGGCACAAGTTTTACAACTTATATCAAGCCCTTTCCCTGTGTAAAGATATAAGATCACCTGCCCGACCACTTGGGTTTTCCGGGTACTCGGGTTTCCTCCCACATTAAGGCCTCCATGTGGTTCTAACAAGAGTGATTTATTTTAGCAGACAAAAACATTGCTTCATAATTTGTCACAAAATAAATGAAGCTCATTTTTTAAATTGGGTTATTTGTCCATCTGTCCGTTGACAGAATCTTTTACAAGAAACTCCTGCAATTTTATTTAATTTTCGCGAAACACCACTGATGTAATAACCGCACTTTGAAGCTGTGCGCTGGCTTATTTATCCCATATTTTTGTGTTAGTTTGGACTCTGTTTTGATTTCTGTGTATATTTTCCTAAAATACTCGTAATTGCATTCTTGACCGATATATCATATAGCTATCCGTGATATTTATTGGTTTGCATGTCCGGTACTGCTAGCTGTATATTGGCAGCAAACTCCCAGCACGTCTGATATCCAATCACACATCTCAGGGCGAATTTCCGGTGGTAAAATCCCCATCACTGAGCTATTTCGGAATCAATGACATGTTCAGAACTTGGGTTTTCTTCATATACCTTTTTGTTTGTAGGGACATGCCAAAGAAATCAAAAATATATATTCATGGTACTCCAAAGATGCTCTAGATAAAGCTGTTGCTTCAATCAAACAAGGAGCAATGAGTTTCGGGAAGGCAACCACTGCCTTTGAAATACCGAAGTCACATTAGTGGACCACGTTAATGGGAAAATAAGCCCTGGTGCTAGACCTGGAAAGAAACCAGCGATACCCCTAAACATTGAAAACGAGGTTGTGTGTAAAATAATCTCTGCTGCGGAGAAGGGTTTTGGATTGACCAAAAAACAGCTACTCATAAGAGTATCTAGGTTGTGTGCTACTATGAAGCTGAAAACCCTGTTCAAAAACAAGATCCCAGGGGACGACTGGTGGACAGGCTTTAAAACTAGGCACCCGGAAATCGTTCTACGCAAGCCGGAGAAGCTAAGTACAACCCGGTCAAGGATGATGAATAGGAGAGTAGTATCAAACTACTTTATCAAACTAGGAGAAGTTATCACGGAAAATTCACTCACACCAGAACGCATAAGGAATTGTGATGAGACCGGTAAACAATTCCAGCACAGCCCGGTCGTAGTGGCTGCCAGAAAAGGTGCTCGAACCCTTTCTGGTAGGATGGGAAACTCCAGAGAAAATGTCACCATCCTTGTTACCATTAATGCATCTGGGAGCAGAATGCCACCACTTTGTATCGTGAAAGGTAAAACAGTAAAGGCACTGGAATCATTCTCCACACTTGGCGCACGGCAGGGAACTGTGTGGGCGTACCAGCAGAAGGCTTGGATGTGCGACATCCTTGGAACCATGTGGTTCAAAGAGGTCTTTATGAAACACTGTGGTCCAGCAAGGCTTCAGCTGCTGATACTAGACTCCCATGGTTCCCACGAGGTGCTTGAGCTCCTTGAGGAAGCCGTTAAAGAAAACGTGATCATCTTTGCAACAGCTTTTACTGCTGATGAAGTTGTCACGCTGCTGGATCTATCGCTGGATACGTCATTGGATATTCTAGCTGAAGCCACTTCGGTTGCGATTTCGTCTGATGAACCCAACAACGTCATGACAACTGCAGACCTTGAGATACCAGAAGCGGATGTTCCGACACTGCTAGAAGCTCTAGGAAACGGTAATTTCACCCTTACAGAGAACAACGTTCCCGGCAATGACTGGAGCTGGAACACTGACTTGGACAAAATATTTTCGCTTCCATCCGCTACAAAGAACAAGAAAAAGGCTGTATCTGCTTTGACCAG